AACTACATTTGGTGACCTTACAGATATCCTTCAAGAGCTCTTAGAGCTGACTGGAAAAGTGTTCATCTCAAGCACTTCCAATTATTTAAGAGACCAGTTGGAGAAGTAAAAGATATGTCTGATAATGAGACTTCTCCATTTTCCACTAGAAACAAAAACTTTAGATAACATTTAACAAACTAGTTAAACAGTTAAGATTTTCTATTTACTATCTATATTATAAAAGGCCGTGGCCCTAATGCCATAATGACCAACTAAAGACTGCCACGGGTGGGCGGGGCTGCGTGATTTTGCGCACTGGGCTTCTAGTGAAGAATATAAAAAACTAGAGAAAAAACACACAGAGATAGCAAACAGAGAGAGTCTGTCCTATCTAATAAAAGACAGACAGGGTAATTGACCGTACCTTCGCTACGATTCCCATTGGCTAATCAGGGTGATATGCAAATTAACTGCCAAGAAAGATGGCGGTTAACTGCCAAGAAAGATGGCGGTTAACCGCCAACAAAGATGGCAGTTAATTTGCAGACATAGGCGCAATGATGGGAGGCGAAAGGGGAACGACGGAGGAACGGTGATCGGAGCTGGGTGGCAGGGCAACTGCCTCTGCCCTGCCCCCTGGCCCTGGATCGGAGAACTGGGGTGCCTTTCCCCACCCCCAGCCGGTGATCGCAATCAGAAAGCCGGGCGCAGGCAAGGCGGCACCCCGGGGACCCAGGAGCCGCCTTCCTTTCGGCCTGCGATTGCGAAGGCTTGGAGGTGGTTCCCGCCCAGGGGCCGCGATGGCTTGGAGGCGGCTCCTGCCCAGGGCTGCAAAGGCTTGGACGCGGCTCAGGGACAGGGGGCTGGCCTGCAGCCTCCGCAGCTGAGCACAGGCCCGGAGAGGAGACGGCAGGCCTGCCTCCCGCAGAAGCAGCTCGGGTCCCTTCTGCCTCCCACGGAATCTGCACGAGTCCCTCCATGCTCCAGCAGAAGTGGCGTGACTCCCTCCCACCTCCCACGGAATCAGCGCGGCTCCCTCCTGCCTCCGGTGGAAGCAGCGCAGCTCCAGGTGGTGCACTGCGGTTCCTGCCAGCTCCCACGGAAGCAGTGGGCAGCCTACTGCACAGTATTGCGCAATGGGCTACTAGTTATAGATAAATGGCCAGTTCTGACACTTGGATAGAAGCCCACAAAATAGAATGGAGACGACTGTACCATAAAATATTCCATTGCTACCATCTGGTATTCAGGAGACTCCAGGTTTATACTGGAACCTTCCTATTGCTGGTTTCCCAGTGAGTGGTCCACTTTCTACAGTTCTGCTTGCTAAGAACTGCAAAGGTTCTCAGAGCCAACTCTGGGCTTTGCAGGATGGGAAGAGGTTACCGAGAGAAGGCCTGGAGGCGTTCTTTTGCTGATACCAATGACCATGATCAATCAGGTCAACAAATCATGATAAACTTGGGGATCAAGTATTACTACTGACTGCTTGAAAGGCCAACCTGCTATCTCCTCAAAATCAAAATACATGCGGGGGAGGGCAAGGGCCTCGGGCAAATGAAGTCTGCATGATATACTGATTCCCATAAAAATTCTGTTATCTTCATCACATCGTTGTGATACTAATGACCTAACCTTTTTGTAGAACCCTATTACTTAATGGTGGATATTTGAATTTTGTAAATCAGTGTTATTTTAGAGCAAACATTTATAAAAAATATACAAACAAAAAACAAACCGAACTCAAACAAACAGTACACTACAGGAGGGAATAAAATGGCTATTTAAAAAGCTGTCCCATAGCCGAAACCGGTTTGGCTCAGTGGATAGAGATGTGCAGGAGGCAGCTGATCGATGTTTCTCTCCCATCGATGTTTCTAACTATCTATCTCTCTCCCTTCCTCTCTGTGAAAAATCAATAAAATATATTTAAAAAAAAATAAAATAAAAAGCTGTCCCATAAAAGAGTGTGAGGATGGGGTGCAAAGGGATTCTTATTGGACACTAGAGTCACATTTACTAGGAAAGAAAAAAGAAGGGATTAAGTCCAGATTCATGGCATAAGACAAGGAATAATAGCTAGCACTGTTGGATCCAAAATTTTAGTAAAACTAAAATTTGTTTTTAACATCACAAGGAAACAAGTCCAAGTTGCTGGGAATCTTGCTTTCTCCAAGTTCAGTGCAGCCCTTTTATTTAAATTAATAGTCTGGCTGCCTGCCAAGCTGTGAGGCTTGAGAACTGGAGGAAGTTTGGAAGCATAAGGGCAGGATTGCTTCTGCTGGACTTGCAAGTTCCTTGGGACCCACTGGGATCAGTACTTTGCACTCTGGCTGTTGCCTTGACAGGTGGAGGAGACTGAGTAACAGTGGAGGGACTGGGATGTGCTCCTGTGAGAGGAAGCACAGAGGAGATGAGTGAGGACACTTAATGGAAAGAGGTACAGGAGCACTTATGCCAGGAAACCTCACCCACTATGAGCCAGTAAGAGGTCATAATTGTGCCTTTATATATCTAGACCTATGTCTCTTTAAACACTGTCCTCTGATTTCTACAATAATCCATGTTCTTTGTAAAAATAAGAGAAAGCTTCAGCCCAGCTGGTGTGGTTCAGTGGTTGAGCATGGACCTATGAACCAGGAGGTCACGGTTTGATTCCTAGTCAGGGCACATGCGGGCTCAATCCCCAGTGTGGGGCATGCAGGAGGTAGCCCGATCAATGATTCTCTCTCATCACTGATGTTTTGATCTCTCTTTCCCTCTATTTTCCTCTCTGAAGTCAATAAAAATATAGTTTTAAAAAAAGAAAAATCCAAATTTTTTCACTTCGTATAATAGTTGCATTAAACATTACAGACACAAGAAAAAGCTTATTGAAATTTTTCCCTCATGCCCAAGTCCACTCATCTGTTCAGAGGATGGAAAGACCACTTTGGTTTAGATAAGCGGTTCTCAACCTGTGGGTCGCGACCCCTTTGGGGGTCGAACGACCCTTTCACAGGGGTCGCCTAAGACCACTGGAAAACACATATTGAATATATAATTACATATTGTTTTTATGATTACTCACTATGCTTTAATTATGTTCAATTTGTAATAATGAAAATACATCCTGCTTATCAGATATTTACATTACGATTCATAACAGTAGCAAAATTACAGTTATGACGTAGCAACGAAAATAATTTTATGGTTGGGGGTCACCACAACATGAGGAACTGTAATAAAGGGTCACGGCATTAGGAAGGTTGAGAACCACTGGTTTAGATGATCTAGAAGATTTCATAAGTGAGTGGCCATTTGAGTAGGGCCTTTAAGAATGTTTTTTGAGAAGCATAGGCAAGGAAGGCATACATTTTAGGTGGAAGAAATAGAATGAATATATTTGTGAAGGGGGAAAGACCTACAGGAACTCAGGAGGTTCTGGGAAGGAAGGATTGCTAACCTCAGGGCTGTGAACAAAGAGAGGAATAACAAGAAGCAAGAAGTTACAAAAATCAAAAAGGTAGACAAGGGCCTTTAAAGGTTGCCGATTGGGTCATCCTTGGTAACTTTGGAGAGAGGATAACTTGCCAATTCAGTGGATGGAGGCAAAAGCCTGGAAATAGAGGTTTGCAAAGACTGTTTCTTACACTAAGAAATTAGACTGTGTAAGAAAGAACACCTGAGGTTATCAGAGCTAACAGCAATAGCCCCAGATTTTTTCCAAGATGGCAAACTAGGAAGGCTTAGTATTAGAGGAATCACTTCTGAGACAGGAGAACTCAACAAGGGAGTGGAGCAGGACTGCAGAGTGACAGTGGTGTCCAGTGCAGGCGGACAGCATGACTTTGTAGTTGGGCATGTTAATGGAGTCATACGATCTTCCCCAGAACACTCTGAACCCCAAGGGCACCATCTCTAAATGACTCGGTGGAGGAATCCAGGGCTGGGCACTGGCTGAAGGTCATGCTGAAGTCAGGATATTTATGAGAACAGCAGTCCACGGTTGACCACTGCCATTGTAAATGAGTTGGCCCAGGAATGAAGGAGACTTAAAGGGACCTCACAGCTTGGGTAGGGGAGGGTGGAAGACAGAGTGACTGGAAAGGCTAGTGTATTGAATGTAGGTACCCAGGAGGTGGGTTTTATTATTATCATTATTTTTTGTGATGGTGGTGGTGGTGGGGGGTGGGGTGGGAGGGATAATCTAAATTACATCAATGCATTCAGTGTGAACATGTAAGGCAGTATGCAATCCAGAAACATAAAGTTTGAGGAACAAATCAGCTAGTTGAAATAGGCACAGAGAGTCTGATGTTGGTAATTTGTTCTTCTAATTTCTGGATCAAACAGAATGAAAAAAAATAAAAAAACACAGTGGAAAATGCATTAGCCCTAGAAAAAATCTGACAGCTGACTCTTCTGCAAGACTGGAGACTGGGGGACTGTAACTCAGGAAGGTTTGGCTGGCAGCCACCTGGCAGTCAACTCGCTGTACACGGAAAGGAACAGCTCAGGTTAATGAAGCAGCTTAAATTACTTAAAGGCATTCAGGTTACAAACTATGCAGTAGGTGGGGTATGCCAGTCACAGAAAAAGGGTGTCTCCCACAGAAAATGTATAAGGAAAGTGCGTAGAGAATATCAAAACATAAATAGACCATTTATATGAGGAAGGAGTTTGGTTTTCTTTCCCAATCACCCGTAAAGCTAAAGCACGGTGTGGCACATGTCAAAACTAGCAGCTATAAATGTGCAAATGCACAGACAAAGCTTTCAATTTTAATTATGCAATATATTGGAATGTTAATAAGCAAGAAAATGCAGTAGGCTTTTTTTTTTAAACATATAGAATTAGAGTTAATCACTTGTGTGCTGCAACTTGAAGTGTGATGATTTAAGAAGATGCAAGACTTTAAGTTAAAAGCTGTTACCAAAATCTCTTACTCTAAAATCTAGGTGTAATTCGTATTTTACACTAGGAGTTAAAGGGGAGAAAGCAACTAAAATTAACAAAAAGAGAAAAGAATACAATACCTCTGGGTTCATTATTCCTTCTTTTTTAAAACAGCTGTAAAACATATCCATGGAAAATACTTCACTCCAAAGATATCCGTAATATTGGCCATCATATCCCCCTGCTAAATGTCCAAAAGTAGCTGGCATGTTTGTGCCTTTAAGGAAAGATACATTTCAATCAATGTGATGGTAAATGTTAATTACCAGGTTATCAGCTAGCTAAGGTTTCCTAGGGAGCCCTGCTGGGGGAGGTGAGATAGGATTTCACCTCTAATACAACCTGGGTTTCCTTGTGCCCTTGGTCAAGATGTTTACAAACTTCCCTCCAGGGATGGCTCAACCTCAGAGCTGGTTTCTGTTTTCGGCCCTAAGCTCTGGAATGCTTAACAATAGTTTCAGAGGCTTTGTCCACACCCATCAGATAGCTCAGTGTTTCAGAATTCCTCAGTCCTTTCTTCTCCCTTAGACACACAAGTGTTTTACAAATACTCTAATATTAAGCCTATTCTTTGTCACATCTTTATATTTAAAATGTGTCAGAATGGCACTTATTAGGTTCATAATTATGGAAAATGAACTCTTTACTTGAAAAGCTAAAAAGGTGTTGTTTTTTTGTATAAAAAGGTTTTTAACAACTCCATTTACCTCTAGGGATACATTCGAAAGGATTTTGTTGATGTTGAAGTGGCCTCAGGCACAAAGCTGCTGTAGGGTCAACTATAAACAGGTCACAAAAGGAAGTGAGGAGCTTAGACTCTACTGACTATTCTGAACTTTATCATCTCTACAACTATGACTGATTCATTTAAATAACAACTTATTGGTGGAAAAAAGTCTCCTTACCAACTACATATAAGTAGAACTACATGTTAGCTTTAAATATACATAATATAAGTGTAAACACACATGTGTGTGCAGCTATCCACCCACCCACATGAATCATCTAAGTATTAGGTCAGAGATCTAAGTCAAGCTGATCTCAGAGTCAGAAACAACGCAGAAGTCGTGCTTCTCTCTAAAACTGCCCCCACTCCCCACCCCCCCAGCTTGCTACTGAAATCATTGGGAAGTCCTGGTGCACACAGGGAGGGAGGAGCCGGGTGGGTGCTGCCAAATGTGAATGGCTTTCTGCGCTCTGGGGTGGAGGCCAACTGCTCACGCCTGATTACACTAAAATGCTGCAAAAGCTGGAGCCACCTTTCCTTCAAGTACATTTGGAGAGGACACTCATAATACGAAAGTCCGAAAGTCATGGCCTGATGACAGAAATCAGAAACAAAATACATGAGGTAATCTGCCTGACAAACCCCTTCTTCCCTGGCAGCGTGAGGAGCACATCCTGTGCGACACAGGAAAAATGAACTCAAGTCATAATAGAACTTCCGTACCTGGAGTAGCCTCAACACCTAAAATTTCTGTGCAGCATTTGGCATATTCACTTGCAGCATCCAGCGATGTGTTGGTGTGGAGAGACTGATCAACTTTGCTCAAAACAATCTGGCGCAGGGTCAGAAGACCTAATAACATAAGAATGTTTGGGCATGTTTTGCAGAAGAGAACTGTGTGTTCTAATAGCACAAGATCATAGATTTCAAAAGTGACTCCTGTAGTACTCATTACAAAATGGAAGCAAAACATCTCATTTAAGATGGAAAAGTAGATGTATCTTTTTTATTTATTTATTTTTTCTATTGCTTAAAGTATTACAAAGGGTATTAAATATGTGTCCTTTTAGATGTATCTTTTTCTTGGACATAATCCCAAGGCTCAGTATTGCAGTGTATTAAGTGGTCTTCCCACATTAGTGCTCTGGGGGTACTGTCACTATTAAAGGGGAAACAGTTCTATAGAAGATGCCAGCAACCCCCTATTAAGCAATTCTAATTTATTTTCCCTTTCTAAAATGACAAGTCATACCTGTGTTGACCAGTCTAGAAGCAACAAGATTTTCAAGCAGATCATCCCCAATAGGCCTCCCATCTTGATAATGCCTTGACAGTCTCCGGAGGGAATCAATGTCCCACACCCAATTTTCAAGCATTTGTGATGGCACTTCTACAAAGTCAGTTTCCACATTTGTTCCACTAAATCGTGCAAAATCAGTCTAGAAAGTAAACAGAGAGGTCTTTTTTTAAAACAACAACAACAACAACAATGGATGAAAAACAAATAGGTGATGAATTACATATAAAGAAAATTCTCTAAAACTTAAGTCAGAATCAGAGTCAACTGCCCCTTTAAATGAAGGTTTAGAAAACCTTAGAATTAAGTGAAAATAAAACACAGCAGCTAAGCAGCATAAAAAATATCCCCTAATACTCTATATTAAAATAATGTTTTATTCTTTTGAATCATAAACAAACATGGAACAATTATCCAGAAATCATAACTGGGGAAAAAAAAATCAGGATTTTCCTACTGATTTCTAAACTGATTTTTCTCTACTACTTAACTACTCAGGTTTTAATCAAAATTAATTAAAGAGTTAAATTACAACAGACAGATACCCTTTGTGTATGTGTGATGTTTTATGTTCTAAACTTTAAATGAGTGTGTCTAAGAAAACCATGTTTATAGAAAGTCTGAGTAGTACCTCTCAGATTAGGTAGATGTTACCTTAATGGCCAGGCATTTTTATTGCTTTTTATTGATTTCAGAGAGGAAGGGAGAGGGAGAGAGGGACAGAAACATCAATGATAAAAGAGAGTCATTGATCAGCTGCCTCCTGCACGCCCCTCACTGGGGATTGAGCTTGAAACCCAGGCATGTGCCCTGACTGGGAATCAAACCATGACCTCCTGGTTCATAGGTCGATGCTCAACCACTGAACCACACTGGCCGGGCAATAAAAAACTTTTAAAACAAATTTAAAAAATAAAATGAGATGTCACTTCAGTGGGAGTTAGGCTGTGTATTAGTTGGCAAGAGGGGTGAGATAAATGCGGCTAAAGAAAGGAGAAACAAAGAATGTATTCAGAAGTTAAAGCACTCTTCTGTGAATAAAAAAGGGGTGCTATAATAAATCAGTGACCCAACGTAACCTCACAGAGTGATTCCTAACTGGGCAGGTCAAGGTGGGTAGTCAAGCCCCAGGCCTATAACTTCCCTAGTAAAAGGTTCTCTTTGCCTTAAGCAAGCCCTGTCCATTGTTTTTGTGTATCTAGGTCAGAGATGGCGAACCTTTTGAGCTCGGTGTGCCAGCATTTTGAAAAACCCTAACTTAACTCTGGTGCCGTGTCACATATAGAAATTTTTTGATATTTGCAACCATAATAAAACAAAGATTTATATTTTTGATTTTATTTTATATATTTAAATGCCATTTAACAAAGAAAAATCAACCAAAAAAATGAGTTCGCGTGTCACCTCTGACACGCGTGTCATAGGTTCGCCATCACTGATCTAGGTTAATGCACATTTGAAATGCCTCTTTTTCAGACCTCTCTGAAAACCACCACCAAGAGAGCACCCAATTTTTAACCACCCTGTAATCCAATCATAGAGATTTCCCACCCTCATGTAATCTCCCTTACTTCCCTCAATCCCAAACATAAGAACTGTCATTCGCAGGCAGCATTTGAGACCTTGCTTTCTGGCATGTATTCAGTTTGGCTCAAATGAACTCATAAAAATTCTCTCCAGGTTGGGATGTTTCTTACATTGACACCTTGTAAAAATAAAGTACTTCTAAGCTCTGGCTAAGAGTTAAAATAAAGGTTTCTGTTATTGTTGTTGTTTTTAGGGAAAGTTTAGTAAATTGTTGAATTGGATATCAGAAAAGTTCCTGAGCAGAGAGCTGGAACTTGACTAGAACAGGCTGGTTTTAACCTTCACACCATCCAAAGAACTTGTGTAAAATTGCCACTGGCAGCGGAGTTTTAGCATTTTCCCAGCTGGGTCACTGGGGTTATCCTTCTGTTGTCTTTCCCTGCAACTCTATCTGGCTTCCCTCTTCACAAGCTTTAGATCCCAGTCTTCGCTCCCTGACTTCATCATCCCCGCGGCTCTACAGGGAAGGGAAAGGAAGAGCGGCTTAACCACCGAGAAGGGAGCAGATGGGATGCCGAATCAGCAGCAATAACCATTCTGCTTTTGGCCCAGGGCAGAAGCACAGATGTCAACGCCAACTCACATTCTGCCTTCCTCCCTTTATGCAAAAAATGTTTTGCTTGACTTCCCACTATAATTGTGCTGATCCTAGATATGAAGAGCTGCAAATCCTAAAGGGCCAAAGGAGACTAAAATCACTGGGTTGCTGGAATAGGCCACCTGTGTTAGAGGACATCCCAATAAAAATACTCTTGCAGAGAAAGGGTTCCAGATAACTGAGTATTTTGCCTCTTTTTCATATATAATCTTCTAAAAAAACTGATCCTACATTTAGATAAAACAAACATATACAGTAATTATAATAGTCAACATCTATTGAGACTTCACTATGTCAGGCATTATGCTAGGTCCTTTTCATGTAGTATCTGATTTAAATTCCAAAACAATTGTATGAAGTAAATACTGTAATCGCAATGTCTGAGATAAGGAAATTGAGGCATACCGCGATTAACAGTAGAACTAGGATTTGAAACCATGTGGTCTAACTCCAGAACCCGCAATTTTAACCACAAATGCTCTAATGCCTCCCCATCTTATAGGAAAAAATGGGAAAAATAACAGGTTAAGCTATAATGTTACAAAATGACTAAGTGTTCTTGAAAGGGATCTGAGGTAGAAAAATCATATCACATTTGCCTTTATGTGAAGAGTAAGTGTGGTCTCAGGGCACTTCCGTAGAAACCTGACTTCCTCTATGTGCTGGAAGATTTTTCAAAGACCAAACATGAGGCTGACGTGCACATGCCAGCCTTTGTAACCATCTATTCTGGGCTGGTAATCTGTAATCTGAACTGCATACTTTTCTAAAGATTATAGTTTTAAAATAAGTACTAACAGCAAATAAACGCAAACTCACACTATCGGCTACAACTAGACAATTTTTTGATAAAAATATAAATTTTGTACATGCTGCCTGTGTGAATATTTTTCAGTCAATATTTGCAGATGAGGGGGGAAATCAACCCTAAATAACAACAAAATGCATGTGTGTGTTGGTGGTGGGGATGGTGTTTCAGAGCCTAGGAAAACATGAGCAAATGAATAAGTCATGAGTTAAAATTGAATCAAGTAAGAATTAACACAGTTATGTCATGCAGAGTGGAGAAGAGAAGGCTTATTCTATCTAAAGCCATCTTGCAGTGGGGGAGAGAGCACAGCAAATGAATGAACAGATCAACAATGTCTTCTAAAGAACAAAAGGAAATGTTTGCAAAGAGTAAAAGCTAAAAATAACTCCGCTGCTTACTAATTTCCCGAAAGTCAGTCACGCTGTTTCTCTGTGTGCCCTTTGGGCAATATCATTTAAATATTTTTCAAATGAGGAGTACAAAGACCCGACAAAATTCAAAAGCTCAATTTCTAGCAAACAACTAAATCTTAAAGAGAAAGGCATCCACACGGTCTGTGTACACACAGAAACGGCGGGCAAGTCTTAGGATCCAGAAGCCTGATGGGGGCCGGGTGTGCAAAACAGCGAGGCTGCTGAGTTATTACTCATTGTGGAGGAGCCAGCAAATACCAATCCCAGTTGTAAACTGTGGGTTCCAAAGCACCCTAAAAAGTACTTTATATAGTTTTCAACATGAACAACTTGAAGGTGTTGAATATATTAACTGACGCTAATATACTTCCCAGATAAAGCAGAGTATTGTAAAATACACACAAAATCATCTAATTAACAAATGATTTTTGCATGTGACACTTCCAAAAGTTTAAGGCATTACTGCTGCAGGAAATATTTTGACGATAAAAGTGTAGAAAAACAATGTAAACTTAGATTCCTATTTGGTTAGAGGTACTTGAGGAAAAAAAAGGTTGTTTAAAACTATGAGATTTTTCTTTATTATCTTTATAAACATACAATAAGATGCCTAAAATATATTCCATTACAGGTTTTTATAATAGACTAGAGGCCCAGCGCATGAAATTCGTGCACAGGTAGAGTCCCTAGTGGCTGATGGCTGGGGCCTTCCTTCCCCTGCTGCCGGCCAGGGCCTTCCTTCATTCCACACCGTCCCCCTGGTGGTCAGCGCATGTCATAGCGAGCGATCGAACTCCTGGTTGGTCGAACTCCCGAGGGGACACTTTGCTTATTAAGCTTTTATATATATATAGATGACTTGGTGCTGTAGGTAGTAACTTTTTGCCCTGGTTGAGTAGCTCAGGGTTAGAGCATCATCCTGATAAACCAAGGTTGCAGGTTTAATCTCAGATCAGGGTACGTACAAGTAGCAACCAATGAATGCATTAATAGGTGGAACAGCAAATCAATGCTTCTCTTTCTCTCTCTCTCAAATCAATCAATTAAAAAAAAAGTAACTTCTCAATTTATACAACCCAGTGAGAGCTGGAGCAAAATTATATAAACTAAAGCTCCAAAACTTATGTGATTTTTGTTATATCTAAAGATCAAAGTCCTGCCCTAGCTGGTTTGCTTCAGTGGATAGAGTGTTGGCCTGCAGACTGAAGAGTCCCATGTTCGATTTCGGTCAAGGGCACATGACTGGGCTGTGGACTCGATCATCAGTAGGGGACATGCAGGAGGCAGCTGATCAATGATTCTCTCTCATCGTTGATGTTTCTATCTCTCTGTCTCCCTTCCTCTCTGAAATCAATAAGAATACTTTAAAAAATATATACTTAAAAAATTAATAATAAAGACCAAAGTCCTATGGGATTTTTCTAATTAAGAGACCATTTGCTTTTAGTGGTTACACCTAAAGTGTTATTTTCATGATAGCAAACCCCAACTCAAAGAAAAGGCATTTGTTAAAATCAGTAAGTGTACTGTGTTTAGGAAAATAAACAGGCCTCAGAAGAACCGACCTTGGCTGTCTGGGTGATCCCCTATGATTGCTTAGTGGTCATTCCATATCCTGACCTGTTTAATCTACCCCTAAACCTGGGATGATGGAGACGTTTATAAAACAAGGTATTAGAAAAAGGAAAGTGCTACAGTCTCTTAGGCTTTGCCATAAATAAGAGAGTTAAAGG